CAGTGCTGCCGCTGCTGGTGTCGCCAGTGGCGGCGTACTTGATGGTGTAGGACAAGGTGCCCTTGATGTAGCGAAGAAGGTGCTTGGCAGCCTTTCCAGTGGTCCATGCCGAAGTGCTGCATGCGGCGAGACAGGATGGAGACAGCCGCCGAGATGTCTGGGCGCGTCATCGTCGCAGCATAGAGGAGGGAGCCAAGCAGCTCGCGGAACGGCACGTCCGGGAGTGGCTCCTCCTTGTCGGCTGGCTTGTCGACGTAGCCCGTGCAGAGCGGCGTGCCGACGGGCTTGCAGTCAGCCATGCCGAAGGTCTCCAGCACGCTGCGCAGGTAGTGCTCCTGGCTCATGGTGACGGTCCTGGCCTTGCGGTCGTGCCGCACCTTGATGCCGAGACATATGTCTGGGCTGCCCAGGTCCTTCATCTTGAAGCGCTTGGAGATGGCCTTCTTGAACGCGGCCATGTCGCTGTCGCTGTCGGCGAAGATGAGCAGGTCGTCCACGTAGACGGCAACCCACATCACTTTGCCACCCTTGCAGGTGCGGCGGTAGATGCAGGCGTCCGTGGCTGTGGCGACGAAGTCCTGCTCGCGCATCCAGGCGTCCAGCGTGTGGTTCCACAGGCGCGGGCTCTGCTTCAGTCCATACAGCCCGCGCTTGAGGCGCAGGACCGTATTCGGCGAGAAGATGCCGTCGACGGCCGGTGGCTGGACGTAGATCTCGTGATCTACGGGCGCGTTGAGGAACGCCGTGTTGACGTCCATCTGCTGGACGTCCATGCCACGCGCGACGGCCATGGCGAGCATGGTGCGGATGGCTGCGATGGTGGCCGTCGGAGCAAAGGTGTCCGTGTAGTTGACACCGTGGACCTGGGAGTAGCCCTTGGCAACCCAGCGCGCCTTGTACTTGATCACCTTGCCCTGGTCATCGCGCTTCCTCCGGAAGATGACCATGCTGCGGAGCAGCTTGTGGCCCTTGGGAAGGTCAGCGCGAGGCACGACGTCGTAGACGTCATTGGCCTGCATTGCCGCAAACTCGTCCAGGATGGCTTGGCGCCACTCCTCAGAGTCTGGCGAGGCAAGCGCCTCCTTGACGGTGGCTGGCTCAGCTGACGTGGCAACACTGCCAGCAGCGATGTCTGGTAGATGACCACCCACTGCTGATGTCTTCTCCCCCGTACCAGCAGCGCTGGTGGCAACGTGACACGTGGTGGTTGAGCCACCAGGGGTGTCCTTGTCACCGAGGGTCTCGGACAACAGCAGCTGGTCCCAGACGGAGCCGCCAAGGGCGCGTGGCTGGAGCTGCGGCTCCCCCGCACGTGGTGCAGTGGGAGCGCCGGTGGCACTGTCCTCGGTTGAACGCTGAGCGGTCTTGTTGGCATGCGAAGCAGAGGCACCGCTGTTGTCCTGCTCTTGCTGCTGCTGAGAGGAGGCGACGTCCTTGTTCTTGATGGCGCCGAAGCGAGCGTGGATGGTGTGGACAACGCGTCGCGTGTCCGGCATCCAGACGACGTGGGCCTGGTCCTCCTCAGCGAAGCCGACGTAGACGCCAACGCGTGAGCGTGGGTCAAGCTTGTGCCGCGTGCTGCTCTTCTCCACATGCACGTAGGCCGGCGAGCCGAAGACACGCAGCAGGCTGACGTCGAAGGCGTGCCCAGTCAGGGCTGGCTGTGGAAACGACGTGGTCTGACGGGTCAGACATACTGCACGCTCAAGAAAGGTGATGGAGAAACAAGAGAGGGAAACAAGCAGAAGGGAGAGAAGACGCACAAGCGAGTGTGAGACAAGTGGTGATGATGCTCAGGGGTGGCTGGGTCTCATAATCTGTAGAAACACGACAGGTGGTGTGTGTGTTTACTGTAGGCAAACGCAACAAACAAGAACACAAGGAGAATGAACAAGCACAACAAGCTGCTGCCAAATCAACTCGGGCAGCACGCTCAAACGAATACAAGACAAGTGCACACAGTCAATGACGCTGCCAAGGCGACATGGGCAGAGAG